GAACTCAGGAGGCAGCAGAGCTCGAGCGAGCTCGCCGAGACAGGACAAGGGGATCTCGGCCTCCCACCAGCTTACCGTGGGCCTCAGGGCAATCATGGACTTCTCTGGGTCTCCCTTTTCTCTGAACTCCCTCAGCCCTGAAGCCGGTCAGTTTATAACTCCAGTTGGTTGACAACTTAGCATTCAGTAGTCACCAAGTGGAAAACAAAACAATGGCAGAGGGGAACTTCTGCTAGAAAAACAATTTAGGCTCCCAGGGAGCTGCCTATAAAGATTAGCATCCCCTCAGCCCCACTAGCTTAACAACAAAAAATCTACTGCCAGACAGTAATATTTCTTGAGGCAAAATACCATCAGAATGAAGTATTTTGGCTCTGAGCAAATTCTCAAGGCCCTAGAGTTCACAACCTCACTTGATGGTTTTATAAAGTGCTTGTTGGCTTGATGGTGGTAATTCCTATCCCATTTTCGAGATTACAAAGGAAGGAAAAAAGATGGTCCATATGGAGTAGCTGTGCTTCCCTTCCAGATAAGCAATACTCTGTGACCACTCAGAGTGTGGCAGCGCGGAGCCCGGGCCTCGTCCAGCGCCGCTGTCTCTGGCCACGTTCCCGTAGAGCCCCTGGAAACACAAGGGGCACGCGAGGCTACACTGGGAACTCAGGAGCCAAACGGCTAATGCGCAGCACGTTATATTCTGAAAGAAGAAAAGTGGCTGTTATTGTCGCCATGCCCTGCAGACTTCAGGAATGCACTGTCATTCCCAACGTGGGACGGTCTGCTCGACAAATCCGAGATCTTTCTCCGAAGCACATCACCAACATTTATAGTGTGGGAGCAGATGCCAAAAAGGAGCCGGGTATATTCCTTATACGGTGCTAGGCATTGCTGCCAATGCACACGGCTGAGCCGCCCACTGACTGGCAACTCCCCGCCCAGCTACCCTAAGGGGCCAGGCCAGACAACACTGAAGGTCCCGGTCCCAGGCTTCCTCATGTGCACCAAAAGGCAGCCAGACGCAGGAAACCCAGCTGTGAGCCTCTTCTCTATCCCAGCTAGCCAGGTAACCGAGCAAGTACCAGGACACAAGCCCACAAGGACACGAGTCTCTCCGGTCGACTCACGTGTGAAGCCAGGACAAGAGCCAAACCTGGGCCTGTGGCATCCCAGAGCTATCCCATGATAACTCCAGGGCTCTGCAAACACAGGGTTCTCACCCATGAGATGAAGGGAGGAGGCCCCTGCTCACCACCAGCCACCCCTCCTGTGTCCAGACAGCCAAAGCTGTGTGCACTGCAGGACCCCCTCCCACAGGCTCCCCAAGGCATGCAGTGGCCTGACCGACCCTGAGGGGGCAGACGCATGATGCCATCTCCCTGGCGTGTGGCCCAGTGTCTGGGACAGAAACCAAATCATGGAGTATCTCCTCAGCGGGGGTGGGAAGACCCGCAGGAGAAACACCATGACCTCCTGCCCTTGCCTCTACCAACTGATAATGGGGCCACAGCCCCTCTGAATACACCTGCTGTCTAAGATTTAATCTTCGCAACCCTCTCAGTGGAAGAGGTCCAGCAACGTGGAAGGTCTGACTGTGCAGCCCCTAAGCCCAGGCTCACAGGAGGGTTTCAAGAAGCCATGAAATGGGTGGAGACTCTCTGGTCCAGGGCATCATCCTTGGAAGAGGACAGGCCTGTGGACCCCATCCCTGACTTCCTGGGCGACCATCCAGCAGGAAGGCGGGAGAGGGTAGAGCACAGGTGGTAGGTCCTTAGTAAGGCCTGCGGCCGGCTAGGCAGAACCAGTTCCCAAGGCGCTGAGGAAGGCATCAAGAGGGCTCTGCCCCGTCCCCGGACATCACAAACACCCTCTCCAAGATTCAGACCCGTAAGGGCCTTGGCAGGTTAATGGGCTAGTGAGCCTTGCAAACGAAGGAGTGAAGAGGAACACGAGGTTCGGAGTGTCCAGAGCTGCAGAGACGGCTTTCTATGTTCCAGAGGGCATGAAAGTCAAACAAAGATGAGCCCACTGGGTGTGCCGAGCCCCCCCCCCCCCACCAGTGGGAAGTCTGGCTCCGAGGAGGCTGCCCCCAGGGGCCACAGACGGCGAGCACTGGGGAAACTTCAGCCCTCCTGGCACAGGCCCAGGGCGCTTGTGCTGTGGGAAGTGGCCACACAGGGTCCCACAGGCCTATCCAGACGGACGGTCCCGGGAGGACAACACAGTGGTCCAAGTGGGGACAGGCTTCTCTGTTCTTCATGTGGATTCCGGAGGTTGATCCTGGAGCCAGGGCGGTGGGGGGACAGCACAGTACTTTTCCACGAGCTCCCAGGCTAATAGGATGTGCTCTCCAGGCCCGGTCCACCCGCCCTCCTTAAGATTAGGTGCAGCATTCAATGTTCTCTCTCTAAAAACTGCCTGACATCGCTTTTCCATAATTTCCTACGAGAACCACAGAGTGAAGAGATACTTTTATTAGCGGAGCCCAAGGTGTGTCCTCCCAGAAGAGTCTCCCACTTCCCTGGGAGACTGGCCCCAACAATATAAGAGGGGGTCTTCAGGACACAAGCCCACAAGCACAGCACCTGACTCAGAGACGGACCTAAAATTCCTCCCGGGCCTGGAGACACAAGGGGCAAGCACCAGCCGCCTGCAGGCAGAGAGGCTGCGACCCCTGCTGGCTGGCCCCGGTTTCGCACTCCCTCTCCTCTGCAGGCCACAGTGGGTTTCAAGGCCCGCCTCCTGCTCCTTGGCTGGGCCAGCCTGCCACCAAGCCTCAACACCGGAGGGACAGAAAGGAAGCAGAAGCGCGCGAGCCTCTACCAGGAACCTCCTCCACTATGTCACAAGTCAAACAAAAATCTAGTCATCAAAAGAGAAACCAGCCGCTCCTCTTCTGTTTTCCAAGTTTATTTTAATCAACATGTACTTTAATAACAAAAAGCAATCGCATACTGTTAAAAAAATGACCTGAACTTAACCTTGGATCTCAGGCAGAAATTCTAACCCATGCTGATGCCTACCATAAACCCACACTGTTCTGTGGGTCCTGCCTGTGACCGGCAGCCAGCAAGCAGAGATCATCAAGAAAGGAAAGCTGGAAGTTCCATGACAAAACTTAAAATCACCAGGGTGACAGTATGGGGTCTATTTTATTTTTTAAAGATTTATTTATTTATTTGTGAGACACAGAGAGCAGGCATGTATATGCATGGGGTGGGGGTGGGGGGGCAAAGGGGAGGGAGAGGGACAATCTCAAGCAGACTCTCTACTGAGCGCAAAGCGTGACAGGCGGTTTGATCCCAGGACCCTGAGATCATGACCTGAGCCAAAACCAAGAATCAGATGCTCAAATGACTGAGCCACCCAGGTGCCCCGGTAATGGGGTTTATTTTAAAGAAACTGGAGGAGTCTAGAAGAAGCAGGAAAGTATCCTAGAAATAGCCCAAGAAAATCAGGTGTAATTGCGGCTCTGTAAGAACCAGGGGTGGACTGAACCACCGAATGGGAGCTCAGGGAGCTCCGTATGCCAGCTTCCCTCTGGGATCTGGAAAGCAGGAAGAACAGAACAGTCAGGGCTCAAGAGTTGGCCCGGGGCGGGGAGGGTCACAAGTTTGCTAGGAGCCTCTGCATTCAGAGCAAGATGCAGGTGCCCGTGACGCCAGCCAGCTTTCCCGACCCCAACGCCGGGAAAACCAAGGGACTCCCACACACAGGAGTAGAGCAGCGCTCTGATCAGACGAGCTGCCAGACCTGGTAGGTTCTCTGCCAAGAGCACGCAGGACCAGTCAAGAATCCCGAGAGCCAGCCAGGCTCCCTGCCCACCCCCACACCCCCTGGTCCCCCAGGGCAGCAGCTGAGCATCTCCTCTCACTCCTGGACTCCCGTGGCCACAGGGAGATGAATGAGCTTACACCATCTCTCAAAAGCACAGGGATGCCCACGCGGATGCAGCACCCAAGTGATCTGCACCAACAGTCAACAAACTGGGCGCACACAGCCTGAAGGACGCGGAGACTCGCGCCGGGCATCCTCGTGGCACGGTGGGCTCAGGAGCGCACTCCCGGGGCCCCATGCCACTGGCACTCATCCTGAAACTGCTCTGAGAAAAGGCTCGAACGGCCCGCAGCCAGGGAGTTGACTGGTTGTCAGGTGGGTCCTCCCCTCTCCCTCCCGCTGCACCGTGGTCCTCTCCCTATTTTGTGAGGGAAAAAGTCACTTGTCGGGGCGCCTGGGTTGAGCGTCTGACTCTTGAGCTCGGGTCCTGATCTCAGGGTGAAGCCTGCTTGGATTCTCTCTTTCCCTCTCCCTCTGCCCACTCCCCTGCTCACGTGTGCGTGTGCACTCTCTCTCTCTCTCAAATAAATAAAATAAAATAAATCTTTAAAAATAAGCCTCCTGTCACCCTAAATCTTACCAGGGACACTGCCGAGGGCATAAATGCCTCGGGAGCACTAAACAGAGCTTGAAATATTGGTGTTGCAAAAGTCAACCTCAACTAGCCAGCAACACATCCTTGACCAGGTCAGGTGGTTTCTAACCTTTCTTCAAAAGAACTGAAGAAGGACCTAGTCAAGCTGTCATCTAATGGCAGATCTTTAAAAATAAAATGATAACATGTGCCCCAAATCACATTAACTGTCTCCGAGTTTGAGGAATTAAGAACGCTGTTATGACCAAACCTCCATCCCCATTCACTGACGTGAATGAGGCTGTTCAGGGCTTACAGGCAAGCGTGGGAAATAGGAACAAAACCCACATTCAACCTTGTCCCACTCGAGCAACAGTGATGCTCACCCACAGTGCGTGAACAGGCAAAGCCTGCCATATCACCGCATGATGTATATCTGACCAAATTTTACTTTATGTGCAATAATTTGTCAGAATTTATCATCTCTTACGCCATTTTAATCAACTGCATGCTAGCAATTGTAAAGACAACTCAATAAAGAAGAAAAATGTTAACGCTCAGAACGTGGTGGTAACAGAAAACATGTGCCTACCTCGGGGTGCGCTCGCTTGGTGCCCGACACGGCTCGAGGAGCCAGCTGGATCTCTTTTGTGGATGCCTTCTTCAATTTTTTGTTCTTTTCCTCTGTCATTTCGGTAACTTTTCTCTTCTGTTTTGCCATCCTGCAACAGAGAAGGTCAATTGCTAAATACATGGGGAATAAAAGGTCTCAGGCCATGCAACATTTTTAAACCAAGGGGGAAGAGCACTCTCCCATTATTAAAGAAGTACAAAGGTATTTCAGAAAATAGGGTATATACAAGTTAAAAGAAAGTCAAATCCCCCAGTTCTACTTTCCCATCAGCTGGGGAAGCCGCAGCATCACAGGCCACAGGTGACCATCATGCACCCTGTCACTAGGGCATTCAGTCACCAATGGGTGGAGGGGACCACGATGTGTCTGGGATGGCCTCCTCGGATTGTGGAAGAGGCACCAACTGGGACCACATAAAAGGAATGACACACAATCTGAGAAGTGTTTGACTATGTCTACTTTCTCAAGCACAGTAGTATCTAGAACTCCACGTAAAAGAACAGAGAGAAGCCCGTGAATTCTAAAACACATTTCCTTTGTGGGATTGTGCCACAGGGGAACCAAGAAATGGGTGACGTACCAGAACCTGGAAGCATGTCAAAGAGGACGTAGTGGAGAGCCCTCCACTGAGGCCACTGGCTGCTGCTGGGACCTCTGGGAGGGTTCCTCTGAAGGAGGAAGTCTGAGGGAGGATGTCTAGGGGAAGGGGATATCTGAGGGAGACATCTGTGGAGATGATATCTAAGGGAGGACTTCTCAGGGAGGACATCGCAGGGAGGGTATCTGTGGGAAAGACATCTGAGGGAAGAGGTCAGAGAGGGGACCTCTGAGGAAGGACCTCCAAGGGAAGGCATCTGAGGGAGGAATTCTTAGAGAGGGACATCTGAGGGATGATGTCTGAGGGAGGGACATCTGAGGGAGGAATTCTGAGGGAGGGAGGTCTGAAGGAGGATGCCTAAGGGGGAACATCTGAAGGCGGACATCTAAGGGAGCCATCTGTGGGGAGGGCATCTAAGGGAAGACTTCTGAGGGGGGACATCTGAAGGAGGACACCTAATGGGTGGGGAAGTCTGGGGGGGGGGGCATTTGCGGAATACATGAGGGGAGACCTCCGAGCGGCGAACAGGCTGATTCCTAGAGGGAGACATGGGAACTGAACCGGCTCCTGCTGCTGCAGCGAAGGCCACTGCTGGGTGGCGCTGACCGCAACAGCGAGAGCAAGAAGAAGTGGCACCACCCACTCCCCATCCCACCTCACCCCCACCCACCCCACCTGCTCCAGTCTCCCCATTGCCCTCTTTGGGTGGAGCCCAAAAGGAGCTGAAAACAGAAAAGCACTTTGCAGAGGTCCACAAGCTATGATGTGAGGACCACAATGTGGAGTGCAAAATGTGCTTTTGGAGCTGAGACGATAATTTAATAACCAGCATCTGCAAACATACACATACTGCTTTTCATACGTGTGGTTTTTAGCAGAAACAATCCAATCACACATTAAACAAAGGATTAAATAAATAAATCAGAATAAACCAACAAAATGGAAATGAACTCAATAATTAAAATAAATGAGAATAGTGTTACAGATACAGAATGGAAAATATAGAACTCTATGTGTAATATTACACAATTTCATTTTAAAGAAAATAATACTGGAACATCTGGGTGGCTCAGTCGGTTAAGTGTCTGCCTTTGGCTCAGGTCATGATCTCCGGGGCCTGGGATCGAGTCCCGCATCGGGCTCCCTGCTCGGCAGGAAGGCTGCTTCTCCCTCTCCCTCTCCCTCTGCCTGCCACTCCTCCTGCTTGCGCTCTCTCTCTGACAAATAAATAAATAAAATCTTTAAAAAAAATTTAAAAATATTGAAAAAAACAGTAATAGAGAAAATACATAAAATAAACACACAAACACATATATACACATACTTATGTATACATATATATAAAATGTCTGAAGGATATAAACAAAACCTTTACCTTTATTTATATCTGGGGGTGGGTTACAAGGGACTTTCTATTTATTTACAGCTAGTTTCATTTTGTTTTCAAGGTTTTATACTTGGAAAAAAAAAATGAAGATTATTTTTTAATACCAGTCCTTTAAAACTCTACTTACAAAGGCCTACTAATATCAGCTTTTATTCTAACAAATTATAAAAATGTATTTCATTTTATTTATCCTAAACTCACTCCCAATGGTTTCATCCTCCATATTCCAGATTTTACATATATATATATACACACACACACACACACACATATATGGATAATATGTGTATCTATTGCATACTTATGTCCGTATTTTTTTCAATTTAATTTTAGACATGCTGTTCAAGGCTGTGTATATAGGTAAAGGGACAGAAACCCAATGTCCTCTCCTCTTGACACTAGAATTCATTTTGGACTCTATCAAAAGATAATAAAAATATAACTCACTCAGCAAATATTTTTTGAGAGCCAATTCTGTGCCAGGCACTGTGCTAGATGCTGAACACAGGGCAAACAGCATGGCAATAACAGCCTTGATTTTGTGAAGCTTCCCTTCTAGTGGGAAAGACAGAACTATTTAAGTAAATGAGAGAACACTTATACATGGGGATAAATGCTGTCAAGAAAATACGACAGAAGCAGGTGAGCACAGGTGACAGGCAGGCAGGGAGACACGCACAGTGGCAGGAGGCCTCTGTGGCCAGTGAAGGACAGAGCAGGCAGCATAGGCAGAGCTAGGCAAGCAAAAGCTGGGTGTGTCCTGATGTACCAAGACGTAAATTTCCCCCAAAGCAAAACTGTTTCCACAGGGACAAAAGGGGAAAATTACACCAAGGCATCAGCTGGTGGAATTAAGCATGCACACACCCTCACCCAGCAATCCCACCTCAGGCACGCTCCACCCCTGTGTTTCGTCACTTGCCAGTCACTCTGTCACCACCTGCAGAATGCTGAGCATGTGCTAGGAGCTGCTCTAGGCTGGACCAGGCAGTCTAAAAGACCTATCCACACACAGCTGACATGCTTATGGGGGGACACAAATACAGGATACATCAGAAGATGACAAGTGCTACCCGAAGCCAAACAGAAGTGGGAAAGCATTATGGAAAGGGCAGCTATAATGGGTGATCACAATGTAAAGGGCCTAGAAGCAATGCTGACATGGAAAGCCCAGATTTGGGTTCTAAATACCATTCTCTATTAAAAAAGGGGGGGGGGGGGTTGGGTGGGGGGTGCAGAGCTCCTTAAGATTCCCGGTCTGGACCAAGTAAAGTATAAGGTGAACCTGGGATATCAAGCTGTGCTGAACACCCAGGAAACAGTCAAATGATCATAGGGCCACATCCAAGAGGACACAGCGCCAGCATGGAGGGCTCCCTCTGCCCCATTTGGGGCTGTGATTGATTACAGCATAATGAAAGAGTATTACTGTTGTAGAATCAGAAAAATTCCAAGCTCCACGTTCTTTAATTAAGCCTTATCTAAAAAAAGTATTCAAAGCCAGAGGCTACAAATTTCAATTAGCAGTGTAATAAGAAATCTTGAAATAACAAGAGACTGTTGACACAGGAGCTTTGAAAAGACAAAGGACTCTGTTAGCCAATTACCTTGTTGGAGAAATAAGGAAAGTTTAGCAAATATTTACACACCAGTTACCATAAAAGTTAAGCTAAATCTTTATTCATTCTGTAAGTTATCATTAAAAAGTTTAATCACTAAGTCTATTTGCTAAAAAGAGAGAAAGACTTTTCCATATTACAAAAAGGTTTCTTTTAATAGTTCTAAGAGATGGTGTCTCATGACTTTGAGAAAATCAATGTTTGTTATAGAAAACGACATTTCCTTATATTTATGGTCAGTGATTTTCAACAAGGGCCATTTAATGGGAAAGAACAGCCTTTTTAACGAAAGGTGCTGGGACACCTGGACTTCCACATGCAAAAGAATGAACTGAGAGCCCTACCTCACACCAAACACAGAAATTAACTCAAAATGGATAAAAAACCTAAATATAAGAGCTAAAACATAGGAGTAAATCTTCAAGACCCTGGATTAGGCAATAGTTTCTTAGATGACACCAAAAACATAAGTAGCAAAAGAAAAAAACAGATAAATTTTGGACTCCTCAAAATTAGAAATTTTTGTGCTGCAAATGATGTAAGCAAGAAAGTACAAAGACAATGTCAAGAATTGGAAAAAATACTTGCAAGTCATATAACTTACAAGAGACTTGTGTCCACCATGTATGAAGAATTCTTACAACTCAACAACAACAAAAAATCCCATTTAAAAGTGGACAAAGAATTTGAATACAGATTACCCCAAAGATGACACACAAATGGCCAATGAGGACATGAAAAGATGCTTAACATCATGCATCATTAGGGAAATGTGAATCAAATGACACGCCACTTCACAGTCACTAGGTACCTGGCTAAAATAAAAAAGACAGATCATAAATATTGATGATGTGGAAAACTTGGAACCCTTCTTCACTGCTGGTGGGACATAAAATGGTGCAACCACTTTGTACAACAGCCTGGTGGATCCTCAACAAGTTAAACGTGTTACCATATGACCCAACAACTCCACCACAGAAAATGAACACATCCACATAAAAATTCAAACGCTAATGTTCATAGCGTTAGTCATAACATCCAAAAGGCGAAAACAACCTAAATGTCCACCAACTGATAACGAGATCACAAAATGTGGTATGCCCATGCAAGGGAAACAGTCAAATGATCATATTCATTCGGCCAAAAAGAAAAGGAATGAAGCACTGACTGGATAAATCTTGAAAACATTCTGTTATGTAAGAGAGGCCAGTCACAGGATACTACAGATTGTATAATTTCATTTTTATGAAATTTCCAGAATGAGTAATTACAGAGACAGGAAGGTAGCCTGGTGGTTGCTCAGGCCTGGGGTGGGGGGCAGGGACAGGGAGTGACTGTGAATAGTACAGGGTTTCTTTTGGGAGAAGGAAAATGTTCCGAAATTAGGTTGCGGTGATGGTCACACAACCCTGTGAATACACTGAAACACACAAAGAAAAAAAACCCCTCTAATCGCTCTCAAATTATTTGTAATAAATTAAACA